AGATCCACTCTTTTTCTGCCTCATTTTAGAACTCTAGTCCAAGGGTCGCAAAATTGTCTTCGTTTTGGGACTGGTGGGCCGAGTCTCTGTTTGTATTCATTATCATATAAGGGGCAAAATTACTGAATTGTGATTGGTCAAGATAGAGGGCATTTTTTTCTTAATTTTTGTAATTGCCCCGGACAAAATTACTTGAAAATGATTGGCTGAAAATCGCTTAGAAATGGCTGCCAAGGTAAAGAAATTTCTGTTTGTTTTGTAACAATGGCGTCCCCTTTTGCGCAAGATCAGTTAGAAAACATTTTGCCCCTTATATTATAAACAAGTAATCACATGGTTCCTCGTAAAATTAAGGATTAATATTACTTGTGTTTTAGGAAGTTGCAGAAATTTCCCTCGTCGCTGCGCGACTCGGGCAATTTTAGCAACTTCCGAAAACACGCGTGATATTAGTCCTTAATTTTACTCGGCCCCATGCGATTACCTATACTTGTTGTCGCGAAATGTTTAAGAATTTTAAAAGAGCGACAACGAGGATCTGTGCGACGAAGTACAAAAAAGTCAACAAAAGTCCCTATTGGCTCGTCAAAATCACGCTACAGTTTAATACTTTGGTGTTAAAGCGAGCGCATTTGATCCAGGTAACTGTGAATGAAAAGCTAAAAATTAACGGGAAAAATGGAGGAAATCTAAGCTAAATGACGTCTCGTGTCACTCTAAAATGTTTTAATACTCAACGATTGGACAATTTTGCGAAACGTGCAACTTGCGAGTATTTTTTCGACCTTGTTTTTTCGGGGTCTGAGTTTTCGTGACACCCCAATGGGTGTCACGAAAATTCCGACCCCGAAAAAAAAGGCCGAAAAAATACTCGTATTAAAACATTTAAGAGTGACACAAGACTTCATTAAGCTTAGATTTCCTCCATTTTTCCCGTTAATTTACGCTCTAGCACCAAAGTATTAAACTGTGGCGTGATTTTCACGAGCCAATAAGGACGTTTGTTTACTCTTTTGTACTTCGTCGCACAGATCCTTGTTGACGCTCTGTTAAAATTCTTAAATATTTCGCCACAATACTGGATACAGACAGAGACTCGGCCCACCAGTCCCAAAACGAAGACAATTTTGAGACTCTTGGACTAGAGTTCTTAAATGAGGCAGAGAAAGAGTGGATCTATCGTGCGATCGATCGGCCGCAGCAACGGTTTTCGGCATGGGTAAATTTGTATTATGAAACCTCTTTGACCTGTGCTCTACTCGTATGCAGTCGAAGCTCTCTTAAGCGGACACCCTCGAGGAGCGAAAAAAGTGGCCGTAAAAAGTGGCCTAAAATCTCTCAATATTAAGACCGAGATAGTCGCTTAATAAGCCGTTTTCTGATCGCCACGTAAAAAGTGCCAAAAAAAGTGTCCGTAATAAGTGTCCGCTCATAAGAATGGGAAAATACAGAGTTTGTATGAGATTTTAATAAAACGGGGTTTGACTAGGTGGCCGTAATTAGAGCTGTCCACTTACTAGAGTGTCCGTTAATATTTATTCAGCCAGGCGACATTTCGAACTTCATTCCTCATTCATATCCCTTAAATTATCTATTAGAATGTACTCAATTAAATACTGGCAGCCAAGGAAGAGTTTTAATTCATAAAATGTTCTATGCATTCACCATGTTCACTGCGTGTTAAAAAATTATGCGAAAAGCACATTGAATCCAAGTGAATCTACACTCGTGGTTGATTGTGTGACATAAAAATTAAAAAATACGCTATCACGAGTCGAGTTTATCTCTTTGGTAAATAAAATTTAAATAAATTTCGAGTGGTCTGAGTTTTCGGGGTCTGAGGTCTGAGGTCTGAGTTTTCGTGACACCCCGCCTCCATGCTTGACTGCCTCTGGAAAGGCCAGCATGGTACACAGAAGGCAAGGCAGGATGGTCGAAATAGCGGTTATAGGTGGCTAATTTTACAAGGCTTAGTCACTTTTGTTGGCATCTAGCAGGAACAGTTGTGCACGTTGTTATACCTATGATCTCATAGTTGGAACAGGAAAGGACGTTATGGAGGCTCAATAAAGTCCTAACGCCACAAATTGGGTACTTTGTTTCTTTTTTTCACTCTTTAGTAATTTGCAGATCTCTACTCTAAAATTCTTCCGGTGTTTAGACAAGGAACTTTTGCCTTTTACTTGCCATTTGCACACTAACTAGATTGTCTGAGTAGAGATTATGTTTTGGAGAATACAAGTTTTCGAAGTTTATTTACCTCTTACTTCCACTCCCCTCTGGCTCACTTCGTAGTATTTTTTACTCACGAGAAAAAGTCGCAGATCATTTTTATCACGTTTCTTCAGTTATAATATTATTATTTATGTGCAATATTTGATATGCCGGTGGAATGATGTTCAGTCGAAGTTACACAGCACCAACTAAAAATGAATAACTGCGGTCAAATTAGCCGGAGGATCAGGCTCTCTAGGGGAGGGGAGGGGAGGGAAGGGGAGGGGAGGGGAGAAGGAAAAGTAGTCTCCTTTTCCTTTTCCCCTCCCCTCCCCTCCCCTAGAGAGCCTGATCCTCAGGCTTCGGTCAAATGTGATACCACGACTCGCTTACTCGGCCCACTTGATGAAAATTGTAGGAAATGTGAACTTAGGCCAATAACTACTAAGGGGACTGTAACAAGTATGGTTTATCATCTACTAAGGGGACTGTAACAAGTATGGTTTATCATATGTTTATTCTCGCAAAGAAAAGCTCATTTTCGCGGGAATAAGTACAAAAATATGTAAGATTTTATGGGATCGATAATGGAAAGATTTTTATATCTCTCCACAAAAAATATGTACTCGACACACCAAATGAATCTAGAGTTGCTTGAATGATATTAAGGATATATTTGTTGAGAACATTTTAAGACGGATTTGGATGCTACGTGCAAAACGGGGGATTTGTTATTTATTTCTGTTAATGGTACGTGTATGCCCCATCCTCATTTCACGTTGGGAATATGGGATGCAGTTTAAACATGTCACACAACATGTTCCCCAGAACGTGTTGCGTGACGAGCCCTATCGACATCCGCTGGACGGGGACTCCGATGTAAGGAATAAAGAATAATTATGGCTGAAGGAACTTTCGCAGAAGAGAAACTTGTTTCATCCATGTTCTCAGGAATATGGAAAAGCCGCTGCTTAAGTGTTGTGGTGTCATTAGGTGTTCCAGAATTGTTGTGTAACTCAATCACTCCTGTTAACGTTCAAGAGATCGCAGAGCGAACCGGTTGCCACACAGACGAGAAGATCTACAAGGTTTTGAGAACCATGGCTCAGTGGGGAATAGGAGAGGAACTAAGCGAGAAACACTTTAAGGCCAATCGAGCCATGGAGTTGGACTGAA